GATCGATCTAGAGAAAGGTCAAAAGAAAGGAGAAGTAAGGGTGATGCAGAAGAGAGGAGACACAAAGATGACAAGGATGATAAGAAACACCGTGATGACAAGAGGGATTCTAAAAAAGAGAGAAAACATAGTAGAAGTCGAAGCAGGGAAAGAAAGCATAGGAGTAGGAGCCGAAGTAAGAATACAGGTAAGCACAGCCGAAGCAGGAGCAAAGAGAAGTCAACTAAACATAAAAGTGAAAGCAAAGAGAAGTCAAATAAACGAAGTAGAAGCAGGAGCCGAGGAAGAGCAGATAGTGATGAGAAGTCCAGGAAACGAGATCACAGTCCCAGCAAAGAAAGATCTAGAAAGCGTAGTAGAAGCAAAGAACGTTCCCACAAGCAGGATCTCGGAGATAGCAAGGACCATTCAGACAAACATGATCGTCGGAGGAGCCAAAGTACAGAACAAGAGAGCCAAGAAAAGCAACAAAAAAACAAAGATGAAACTGTGTGAACTCTTTCAGAAGTGGATCACATTGAATCCTATAAATGTTTGATTAAATCCTGCTTATTTTTTCTTACAGTTGAGATTGTGCAGTAGTTGATGAGCACTCTTCTCCAACCTCCCTCTAGGCTGCAGATTGTCGTTTCCAATTTTGGGTAGGGAAGTGCCTTTTGTAAACCCATTCAATGCATTGGCGGTTTCAAACCATTTGTTTAGTTTAACTCATAATACAGAGATTGTTCTTGCATTTTTATTGTTCAAATGTTTCTGAAATGTACAGTCTGTACATATGTCCTGGAAATGTTCTAATTCCTTTGGCATGGTTGCCATGTTGGTTAAATTTGTATGAGGCAATAAACTGCCACTAATTCTACTTTCGTTTTGTAGATGTGGAATTATGGTTTATATCCTGAAGTTAGCATGGCTGTGCTTTGCATAATAGTGTGGCTTTTAGGGGTGGGTCCTGAATGTGTATCATAGCTGAGATATTTATGTGCATATAATGTACATTGAGGGCTGCAGATTTAGAACTAACACTTATGTCCACTTTACCTGCTGTTCTCAGAACCTTTTAAAATGTATTATGTCGATCACCACTGGTGTTAAATTGAGTGGGCTTTCAAGGATATAGGGGTTCTGATGCAAAGATTTAGATTATGTTGGGGCTTGTCTAGTGATTCTTTAGAAAGGCTACCTCAGACAGGGAGACTGTTAAGGTTGGTGGATGAGTACTGTAGCCACCTATGCATTTTATTTGTTTGGAAATGTCCATGTAAGTTTCAGTATTTTAAACACAATTTACCTATCTGTGGTCATCGTAATGTTTTTAATCAGAAGCCACACTGTCATTTATGATAATTCTGGGCTAATAAAGGCATGAAAGATTGGAGGAGGGAGGTAGGAAGAAGAAATTGTTACAAAAATTTTCAGTTTCAAGCTTCCAAAGCATTTTTATAAGTGTAAACATTTAAAATAAGAATTACCTGATAGTGTCCTTTTTTAAGTCATTTTCTACAAGTAGTGAAGATTGCAGTTTGTGCTGAACATTTCATCTCTGGCAGATTTTTTTTAACAGGTTGTTCGAAGCAAAAACCAAAATGCATTATGCAAAAATCATATCATTAAAGTCCAACTCTATTTGATAGATTATTCTGATGACTTGTATACTAAGTGAGGAGAACCATCTGGAATAAACTCTCAATTAATTCCTTTGTATTGAGTGTCAGCTTTTCCCTGCATGTTTATTGCCAGTTGAAGAATGTTTGGGTTCATTTGTATTTCATTGCAAAATGAAATGATGGTTTGTATAAATCAAGACTTTTGTGTAATAGGTACCATTTGAAGAAGATATAACTGACAGAAATGGAATAGCAGGAAAATATTAAGAACTTAAATATGAGTTATTCATGGTCATGAAGAGGCCTGAAAATGGTTTTGTGCCTTTTTGCTTCTGTGTGATGCAGGTCACCTAGGTATGATATTTAAATGTTAGGGGGTGTGGTTTTTTGTTTGTTTTGTTTGCTTATTTTTGTTTAAACTGTTGTCCTCTTGAGTATTCATTTCCTTAGTATATATCATAAATCTAAAAGAGGAGTCATGTTTCCCAGTACTGGGAGTATGTTAGTACTGAGGTGCTTGAGGTATTGTTCAACTGTATGTTGTTATGTCCATTAAGTTCTAAATGGGAACTTGAAACAAATCTTAAAGGTGGAAGAGTTCTCTCCATTGTCATGGAAAACCAAAAGTACTGATCTATTTAAGTAGAGAAGGGAAAAAATTGTAATGGTCACTTAAAAGCATCCTGACAAACCGAACTGCTTTTTTTGAAAGGATTCCTCTGAATCAGCAAGGTTAACTTTTTCCTTAAATGGAACATCTTTTCTGTCTCTGGAGAGCTGCTTTTAGTCTCATGAGCTTTTTGACTGTAAACTCTTTAAGTGAGGAGACATCCTCAGGCAGAAATGTGGCAAAACCTCATCATGGTAGTGAATATTTCGATACAGAATGGGCAAAGGCCGTTTAGCCCATGTCAGTATTTCTACCAAGGACAAGAATTTGAGGACTTTGCTTTTAGTCTTTAATAAATAACCCTTTCTGATTTAAGGGGTTGATTAGATTCACAAATGATATTCTTGAACTACCAATATAATGGATAGTACTGGAATATTTGAGTGACATACAAGTTATATTGCCTCATTAAAAAATCATTTAAACCAGGACATGTGACTTAAATATCAGTGGTGATTTAATATCTTACAGATCTTGGTTTTGGATCTAGAGTCTCTTGAATGCTTTTTCATATGTCCGATGCCTTTTTCTTTTATATGATCTTCCTTAAAACCAGAAGTAGCAACGGAGTCTCCAGTGCTTACTGGTTTGATGCAGTTACTAGCAATCCATTTGCAGTTACATTTGGCTCCTGGTGCTTAGATGGAAAATTCTGCTATTTTTGTGTAGAGGTGTTGTAACAGTTTCTCCAGGAAACTCCTTCCCTGGGAGGTAAGGTTGCAGAGCTGCTCTTCTGTCACTGTTAAAAAGTTTTCAAGGTAAAAGTGCACCAGACTTGTGCCCAATGTATGCCAGGTGTCTGTAGCATGTTCATGATTATATAGCTGGATAGTACTTAGTACGTGAATATCAGTGCTTTTTATACTTTCATTTATATACATATGAAGAAGTACTACTGAGCTCATGCTTTTAATATTTACAGCTCAATATTGCTTAGTCAAGGACAGTGCACAACTAGCCAAGAGCTCTTAAAGTGAACGTAAAGGAATTAAGTGACTACCATTGATTTTGGTAGATGCTTGACCTTTCTAGACTCACTTCTGTGAAGTGAGGGTAACTCCACAGGCAGGAGACATCCACCCAAGTGAAAGGGCTTTTCCAGATTCACCAATTATTAAGCAGGCTAAGACAGTGCTTAAAAAGCACTCTCGAGGATCTCCAGGTTCTTCCCCCTCAAAGCATCAGTAATTGGGAGGGGGGAACTGCTTCTAAAAAGAACTTAAATGATTTTGTGTCAAATTCTGAAACAGTTGGAAGTACTGTGGGATTTTACCAGCTTATTTAGTAGCTTAAAAACCAAGCTGTTCTGTGTCAAATAGAAATAACTTGTTTTTGAACATTGAGCCTTTTTTTTTTTTGCAACTACTTATCTTTGCATAATTACAGTTCATCTTTAAAATGATTCACTTAAACTCATTTCTATTGAGTAAACTTTAATTAAGGCACCTATGATTAAATAACAATGATTTTATTCAGCTGATTATTATGTTTTAAATTAATAGGCCAAGAATATTTGATGAGGCCTCAAGCTACTTTTGAGTATAGTGAAACTCCTTCTCCACATTATTTTAAGGAGGAGTTAATGTAACATTTATTTCAGTCTCTTTCATTGATACATTAGGCCTAGAATATACCTACTGATTAGTAACTGTCTTGGAGCAGCTTCCAAAATTCACTGCATGACGGGGAAAAAATAGATGGTTATTTCCATCTCTGCTCATGCAGTATTATGTAAATGTTCGTCTGCATTTTAAACAATGAGCTCAAGTTGGGGCTGCTCATGTATGATATCCTGGTTTAGATAACAGATATGACCAGATCTTCAGCTTCCTCCCAGTCCTCAAGCAGGATGACTTGCAGTTAAACAGATGTCATCTTTCCAGTTCCAGGGAAAGAAAGATGGAGAAGGGCACTTAGACAATGGTGTTACCAACATCTTCAGCACGCAGCATAGTTGTGAGAACAGCAAGAGGAGGCTGATCAACCTCAGGGGGAGAAAAAAAAAGTCATCACCAACTGTTGCAGAGTGACTGCTCGCCATGCGGCTCCTAAGTCAAAGGAAGTAAATAGTCCAGAATATCAGTAATTCTGTGGAAGAACCTGTGATTTTAAATGACAGAAAGAATTAAGTGCTGGTGAGTGAGTATCTTCATTTGTTTGGGTTTAGAGGGCAAGTACGAGATAGAAATGGTATTAGAATTGGTATTAGAAATGAGTTAAATGAAAGATGGGTGTCATTGGTGTAAGTGAAGGGAAGAACAAATTAGTATGCAAATAAGTACTGACAGTGGGTAGGAGTAGACAATACTAGGTTTTTGAGATAAACATGGTGGATTTTTAACAAATCAATTAAATACGAAGTTTATCCCCCCCCAGTCCCAGAGATAACAGCAGGAAAAACTTGATAAGTAAATCTTAATCTAAATCATGACTCATTTTACCTCTTTATCTGAAAAAAATTCATTTAGAGATGTTCCGCATTTCTCTTTCCTCTATATATCACTGTAACAGAATTCAGAAATTAAAATAACTTCAGGTAGGGGAGAAAACTGATAGCTATATGGCTAGGCTTTAAAAGAAAAACTTTTTATGTGCAACTAGGTAAATATTGAATATAAAGCAGCAATGTAGACTAGCATGATAGCGTGCAGGCCACAACATAGGTAACAGTTTTATAATGATGCACTGTAAGTGGCAGGAGCAGAAAATGCATAACAGTAACACAAGCCTTGACTATCAAGGTACTGTTCGTACCTGACTTTGAATTTAATGTTATACAATGGTAGCATGTTTTATAAACACAATGGATTTGGAACAGATGTGCTATGTTCTCTTACCCCTTCCAACAGAGCTTCCAGAACAAGTTACTGAAATGATACAAAGCAATAGTATGTGTTAGGTGCCTGGTGGTATGCTGGAAAATAGGAGTAGTCTGTAGAATTTAGACCATGTTATACAACTATGCCATTTCATCAGCTGGTATTAGTTTTATGATGGATTATATTTATCCTTAGGAAAGGACTCCCAAGGAAATCATCCCCACTTTAAACTATTGTTATTTAAAATATACACAATTTGATTTTATAGGAGTGTGTCACTGAAGTTCCTCTTACGTGTTTGTACATTCAAAAATAATAATGCCATAAACCTAAAAGCTCATTTATTTGCTTCTGCCTTCTAACTGTTAGTATCTCAACTGAAAATAAACCTCACCATCCCAGGTTGTTGATAAACCAGTTAAGAAGCATCTGTGTAGGTAAATACAGGTCTTTCTCATGCAACAATTATGTTCAGGAGAAAAACAATACCCTTCCCCCCTGCCCCTCCAAAAAAAAAAAAAAAAAGTTACATCCAGTCCCCAGATGTTTTTGTGGTGCTACTGTTGTAGATGTTGCAAGGTAGCACCTATAACCATTATGTTGGAGTCAGCACTGGGATAGATAACCATTATGTTGGAGTCAGCACTGGGATAGAGAAGTTCTGCTGCACACTGCTTTTTCTGACATAAACTCTGTTGACATCTTGTCTGTATAGCATCCACAGACAACAGTACATGGTTCAAATAAGTTTTAAATTTTACCTGAATATATTTTTTTAGGACAAACTGCAAGTTTCAGCCCTTTATCAGTTGCTGGAGTTACTACCACTGTGTAGACATCCCCACAAGGTATCTCAGTGATATCACAGTGACTGAGACCTGAGTGAGGGGCACAGGTGAAGTTGCCTTTTGAGCCATATAAGTCAGTATTGTAAGTTGTCACTTCTTCAGAAGCTCGCCAGTGTACCCTGATAGCGTTATTGCCAAGTCTGTATAGCTTCACTCCTGAAGGACAGCAAGCACCTAATAAAATAAGCCAGATATCAATAAGCATATCTTATAAACTCTCAATACACTAAATTCTCAAAACAAGTTTTAAAGCAGGTGACATAATTACTATCATTCTATATTCCAGCAATCCAGGGAGCAAAATTGAGCTTCCACAGAAAACTAAAGTAACTTCAAAGAAACTAGGGAAAACTGTTCTCTTGGGGCCATTCCAACTATGAAGTTGGAATGTGTATCTTATTCTTTCACTTTTAAATATACTGGAATATTGTTGCTCTCCTCTGACATTGAATGCAGAAGGACCCATCTGTGGGCTCCAAAACTGATCTATGCTTGTTCTCAAAATTTCTTTACAGGGCCAGCTGATGGCAGTTACCATAACAGGGTTTAAGTGATATGTGAAATTAATCCAAACAGGGAACAAGTTATTAACCATTTAGGTAATTTTAGCTACACTTTTTCTGTGAGGAACATAGCATGCAAAGTAATATTTCCCAAGTTGTTTCTTCCCAACTGCACTTATTTACATACTAGAAGAATATCCTTTGTATGTGCAACTGGATGTCAAACCAGTTTCACTGATTGCTTTCAGAGATACGGTGTAGTTGGTGCCACATGTGATGCATCCTAGGAGACAATAGTTTTGGAGAGTGTGACACTTTGCCTGTCCTTTTGGAGATTCCAATGTTGTTGCATATGTCTGTGCACCCATTCCAACAGACCAGCTGATATTTGTTACAGACTGTGTCACCTGAGTTAGTGTCAAGTCAGTAGGGCAGCAAGGAGCTTAAAAAGAATTAAAAAAAAAAAAAGAGAAGTCAATATTCCAGTTTATGAGGGAAATGAAAGATATTTTCAGAGACTGCAACTAAAATACATAACGAAGAGAAAAATTTGCATGCTTTTCAGACAAATGTTAGCATGCTGAAAAACATTTGACTATTCTGACAAAGTGGTAAGCATTTAAAACAGTGTCAAGACCAATTTATTTACAAGAATTTTTGTCCTGAATTTATGAGGCTTGTTCATCAGTGTCTTCATTAATAAAATCCCTGGTCAGAATCTCAGGTTACCTCTCAAGTCAAAAGGCTGAGCCTGACTTTTTCTTCAACTATCTCTTTTATTGTACAAAATAAGATGATCACAACCACTATGCCTGTTGAAGATGAATTGTGGTTTCTATGTTAATATCAGAACCATGCCGGGAAATTGTTGGGTAAGTGGTACAGGCCAAAGCTGTGCTAACAGATGAACACTTAATTAATGGTGGCAGGATGTGCTTTGATCTTTCCTTGATAAGGACATCACCTCTGTGCCTCTCTTGGTAATATTAATAATGAAAGTGCTGACAAGGAGGTCGTGCAATATATTAGTCAATTATGTTGCTATAATTAGCTTTGACAAATAATAATTGGTTGTTTTGTGGCTTCTTAGTATGATTGACCTGCCAGATGATCTTTCTCGTGCATATATATACATACAGTTAGGCACAGGATATATCATCTAGCGGTGCATAATGCCGTTTAGGAAACGCCAAAGCAAAGAGGAAGATATAAATATTATTATTGTGCTAAGTATTTTCCATTATATGCAGTTGCCACTTACCTGTCTCTAAAGGGACACTATAGCTTGGTAAGCTCTGTCCTGCTGGTGATCTTGCTATAGCGCTAATAGAGAAAACAGATCCGCAGGGAAGATTAATTATGGTACAGAAGTTTCCAGAGCTGGTGCAGTGCCACAGCCCAGCCTCGCCTTTTGCAGTGATGATGTATGTAGCGTCATCGTTATTAGATTGCCAGTACACGCTGATTACAGAAACAGTGTCTTTTGAGATATTTTTAATTTCAGGGCTGCAAGGAGCTGAAAGATTTTGCATTGACAACATATAAATAATTGGTTTATGCACACTGTATAAAGTATACATTAATATTAACTTCCAGTTAGAATAGACAAACTGACTTGGAATAACATATGATTCTTAAATGGTTATTTCTGGTTAGAATTTAGAGCTCTTGATAGAACTGACAACCTGAAAGTTTTGCATACAAAAATAAGCTGAACTGTAAATTTGATTTTCAAAATTTTGAAGCATTCAGTACTTGTTAATTCAAGACCACCTTTAGGTCTTTGGTTACAGCATCTTTCTAAATAAGGGGGGGAAAAATCTCCTGGAAATGTTATCAGTTAAAGTAACTTGGCACTCAGTGTTTTTGATTAATGAATGACTGCAGCGTCCAGTTAATAGTTCTGCTGAGGAAAATAAAAATGATCGTAATACCTGTTGCTACATATTTAGATGCACATGATTTATTGCTGCCCCTGACTTCGCTGAAGGAGTAAACAGTGACGTTGTACTGCGTGTTGCACTGCAGAGCCGATAAGGTGCACGCGGGGGCCGTGTCGTTGCACAGCACGACGCCCGTCCAGGCCGCAGCTTTGGTTTCATACATTTCAGCACCACGGACAGGAGACCAGGTAACCTCCAGCGTGTCACCCGACACAAACACGGTGCTAAAGTCGCTGGGGCAACAAGGTGCTAAAAACAGAAAAATCACAGGAATGAAGACTTTGAGGTAGACTGAAATGTGACATTAAACCAAACAGTGTTTCATTTATTTATGTTATTTTTATTTGAAGTTTCTAAAGATGTCTCATGCACACAGTCTCATTAATCCTAAACTGCGTCCACTTCAAAAGATGGCATTTGAATGTATAGGCACTGAAAAGTTTCTATATACTTAAGGGGTAATAGCAAACTGTATGAAGATGTTAGTCTACAGGGAAAAAAAAAAGTTACATGCAAACTCCAGATGTTTGTAGTGTTGTTTTAAAATTTCAAAAGCATCTAGAAACTATCCAAGTAACTTTTACAACATCCTTCACAATTTCCAATAGAGCTGTGGGTTTTGATTTCTTTTTGTTTTACAACTATGAAAACAGCCTTGGCTAAATTACATTAGTTATGAATCTGTAAGCATGTTGTTGTGCTTTATTACTGAAGATGAAATCAACTGCAGCTCAACCATCAATATCATTAATGGAAGTAAATGAATTTGCAAAAGTACATCACTACTTACCAGTAGTGTAATTGAATACATCACCTAAGGGACTCTGGCCTGCTTTGTTATACGCAAAGACACTAATGAAATAGGTGAAGCCACAGTCCGACTGAAAATGGCACTGAGTATGGGATGTGTTGCAGTACACTTCCAAGCCATCATCGCTTTTCACAAAAACAACATAATAATGACTAAAATTCACACGAGACCAGGATACCAACAGGGTACCAGTTTCGTCCTCTTCAATTGATACACTTCCTGGTGCGCAAGGAACTGAAAACAACATTTTAAAAAAGATGGGAAAAAATAAGTTATTCATTATAAGTTTAAGTTATTCATTACATTTTAGGAAAAAAAATAAAGTATAGCATTTATCTACTGAGCTTGAATAATTAGCAGAAAACACCAACTCATTTGGTTTTACAGAGAATGGTATTTACATTTAGATGAACAGTGAGTATCATTTTTATAGAACAAAGTAGATGCTACCTTGATTTTATCACATGAAAAAAAATTGCTTAAGGAGCCCTTGTGAACAACAACTGAGTCAAGAGTCAGTATTCCACAGGAATTGGCATTTTCTGTGTTCACAGATGGCAGCTTTGGATGATATTTGGCAAACTAGCTTGAACAGCAGTTGACTTCTGAAAGCCTTTGTGTGAAAACCCTTTAGATACTGGTGTGAAACTCACTGTGTCTGAATATAGTGGTCTTTTGCTTAGGTTTCACACTGAACTGCAAAATCCATTTTTTTTGTTTTAATAATGTTTTTACTCCTTATTTTTTTTCTGCTTCTAAAAGTTTAGTTCACTGCTCTTAGAAGATATATCTTCTATCTGAAGCACTTTTGACCAGAAAGCCCGCAGCTCTCATCCCATTAGTTCTACTTCAGTTGCTTATGTGAGTATCTAACCCATCAAAATGAACCAGGTTACATTCAAGAAATTGAATAGTGTGTATTTAAAATAGCATATATTAACAAAAATGGTTTAGATTTTGCTTACATGCATAATTCTTCCAACAGGTGAGGAAATAGTGCCCTCGGATGGGGCAGTGGTGATAGGTAGTTGAGAGTAGCAACATTTTTTTTTCATAAAGCTGCTACCAGAGAATGGCTTGAGACTATACCTTAATTTGTAGTGCAACTTTATCTGGAAGTGATTGTGACCAGCTTTCTAAGTAACTCCTAGATCTACCCTAGCAGTTCCTAGCTTAGGGCTAGTCCTCAAAGCTGTTTTTTCCTCAATGATTTCTCCTAGTCTGTGACTGAGCTGACATAGATGGGGACTTTATGGTATTTTGTTTTATTTCATGCTCAGGAAATAGACTTTAGGAGAGGTACTTCTGATAATAGGGAAATGCAGGCTTAACTGGTTCCAATAACAACATGCCCCATTCCAAGTTTTCTCACCGAAGTATGAAGAAAGCTTATCCCTGAAATCAGAAGATACCTGAGAGTTCATGCACAGAAGCAGAAATAACTGCTTGTGTGCCGCTTATGAATTAAAAAGGATTAATTTGCATTTGAAGATAAATATATATCAAAACATCGTAAGCTATATAAGGCTGTTGTTCACCTACTGGTTTTCAAGTTCACTGAAGCAGTTGGTTTACTGGATCCAGCATCATTATGCGCTATCACAAAAACAGAGTATTCTGATCCGCACTGGAGCGACGGCACCATGCAGGAGCTAGAAGATGAGTTACACTTCAATGTCAAGAGTCTGTTGGAGACTATCACAGTGTAAGTTAGAGCTCCTTCTGTTGGCATCCAAGAAACAATAGCTCTTAAAGTGCCACTGTTAAAAGCTACTTGAACATCGGCCGGTGCCTTCGGACCTAGGATGTAACAGTTCAGAAACTTGTGAATACAACTTAGCATATGGCCTGCAGACATGATCTTTTCAGAACATGCAAATTAAACAATTTTTGTGATGCAGATATTACCTCATTCATATTGAAGTGACATACATTTCTAAAGAGAGCATTCTAGTTTTGTACTGATACAAAACTTTCTGTTGAAATTTCATGCTTTATTTGAGTATTTGTTGTTCACAAATAGAAAAATCCTTAAATTAGTTCTAGTTTATGTAATCTTTGTCCAGATTTGTCCCAGGTATCTTAACAGTATCTTTGCCTTAGTTATATTCATAACTCATTAGAGTTTCAGTGAACTCTGAGGTGAGGGTAAAATTTGTATGAGCTGAAAATCTGCCCAATATTCACTGAAAAATTCACTGAAACACAGTCACACACACACCCTGGTGTGCTTTTGTATGTTTACTTCAACTTCAATTTTTTTCTTACTTGTTCTTTGGTTATATGTGAAATCATCTCCGGGCATCCCATTGGCATCCCAGGCATATGCCTTGATAGTGTAGAGAGTTCCTGGGTCCAGGTTGGTGAACGCCAAGGAGGTGTTGGTGGTGTTCTCCTTCAGCATCCTGCCCAAACCATCTGACCTCATGAGGGACACAGCGAATCCTGCTGCCATGTAAACAGCTTTCCAGGTCACTGCAATGGAGTCGCAACTCGGAGAACTTACCGACAGGATCGGAGCCGCCAGGACTGGGGAGAAAACACTGATTAAGCCTTTGGATTTCTAATGCTATGCTTAAAGGAAGCATATTCCACATTCTAACACAGAAACAACAATCATCAAACTCTTTGAGAAAAATACACAGGTAACAAAACAGAAGGGTAAATTAATGCAAGACTACCAGGATAGATAAGGAAATTGATTTGGTACATCCACTATGATACTACAGGTTTTACAAAATGATCATAATCTATACAGTGAGGCATGACAGTTGAATGGGTACAAGAATTGAGATGACACTGCATTTCCTATCCTCTAATTTTAACATTCTCATTTTATACTTTGAATTGTTTCTCCTCCTCATGATCATCGTCAGACACACAAATTGTAGTTGTCAAAAACTGGAAGCTGAATTTGCTATATTCAATTTAAAATACAGCATTATAACAACTCAGTATTAGTACACCTCTGGGCTATATTGTTCATTTTGTTCCAAATATTTTCCAAAAAAGAAAGGAAATTTTATAAGACATGAATGCTCTAATTAAAATAACAGTCCAGAATTCTAAATAGAAAAAAAAAGAAAAATAAAAAGAACTCCACCTGTTTTTGCTTTTCTGGAAGGTGAAGGCTGGCTTCTTCCACCTGAATTTATAGATCTGATGGTGATTCTGTACAGGGTAGCAGCTTTCAAACCTGTCACTGTGCCTGGTGAATTTGTGACTGTAGTTTCAATGAAGGAATCTCCATCTCGGGCAGTCAGTAGGTAACTAGTAGCCCCTGGGACAGCTCTCCATTCCACTGTGATACTGTTGCTAAGTTTGGAATAAGCCTGGTCAATAACAGGTATGTCTGGAGCTAGGAAGGAAAATTAAAAAAAAACAGATATACTCAAATTAGGTAATTCAGCCCTGTGAAGTGCTGAGTGCTTTGAGCCCTGCTCAGAGAGTGATAATAAATGGTTTATATTTTCTATTAATATTTTATACTAAATTTTAAATTGATTTTAAAAAATTAAATAATATAACATATACTGACTTCTGTTTCAGGAAGCAGTTTCAGTGTCTGGAGTGCAGTGACTCTTTTCTCAGCTGTGTAATGTTTGAGAACTCTTGGAAGATCTGCTACTGGTATGACCACACATTCGTCTTTAAAGATGAAATACTGTGTATCAGTTAATATGATAGGTACAATGGAGGGTGTTTTTTTCTAATTTCTCCTGTTTTATACTTTTTTGTCATTTTCTTCTGTATGTTGCTGATAGATGCAAGTCAGTTTTTGGTTTTCCTATTTCAGAATATTTTCTGTCTTTCTTATCTATTCCCTCATATACTTTACGACCAACTCCTGGACTGAAATGTTTACAGATATTTATATTTATATTTTTATTTAGATGGCTCAGTAGTTAAATAGCTATATACTAACCAACAAGAAGTGTGTGTTTTTACAAAGCACTCTGAAATGGAATAGTGTATAGAAAGTATTTGTGAATCACGGAATCATAGAATAATTTATGTTGGAAAGGACCACTGGAGGTCAGGTAGTCCAGTCCCCTGTTCAGAGCAGGCCTATTCAGATATACAGTAACATGACATTCAAATGTTGCAGTTAAAGGCTTTTTTAATTCCCGGTGCTACAGGTCATTCAGAGAGAGTTGTGCAGTGTTGTCAGAAAAGTGACCACAAGAGGGCATGTTTCTTAATTAAACAATTTATGTGCTATAGTTGGGATTTTCATACTGGAATCTGCATATATAAAGCAAGACTGCAAAAGACTCAAAGAACAAAAAAGGAGGTAAAATTAAACTATCCCACCTAGAATTAGGAAAAGGGATGATGAAGTTTTGGGGATTTTGGTATGCACCTTGAAGCAAGCATTTTGATGGCAAGGCAGCTAAGTTAGGATTTGAGAGACATTTGCAGTGTCAAGAGCATCACCTCTGCTGTTTAAGACCTAAGTATTTCCTCTTTTAGCTGTACTCAGACACTTCTTTTGCCCCTTCTGTATAAGTGGTAATACGTATGCTTGGCCCCATTTGTGAAAATGGTAATACATATGTAGCACCTGGTTTGCATCAGAGCTAAATTACAGAATATTAATGTATTACAGTCGTCCCATGAGTAAGCTAGCAAGAGAAGAATTTTTAAACTTACCAGGATAAACACTTACATCTTAAAAAGTTTATTGCAACTCAATTACTCCTTTTAGAAGATAAAAATTCTACTGGAAAAATAATGTCTATTTTGAAAACCTGTCAGTTGAAGTATTTTAAAATGGAATTTCAACAATATCTTTTCCACTGCATTTCAGTGATGAAACGTAAAAAAAGGACTTTGGTTTATGTATATTCTCCTGTGATATCCATGACTTAGATGCTGCAGAGTCATTTTGCAATGAAACCAAGATACCATTTATCACTATTCATTGTTGAAAAATGTATATAGATTCACATCTGTATCTCAAAATCAGGGGAGGTGATTCAGAAAGCTGCAGTCTGATTGTGTGAGCAGTAAATGGAAGGTCAGGGAAACGTATATGAAAGAAAAACAGTGGGGAAGAGGAGCTAATTATGCCAATACTGAAGCCAAAAGGCTTCAACAAACATGACTTTTTTTACTAACCTGTTGACTGCATAATCTGTGTTTCAGCCAGAATAATTCCATTCTTGTCAACAGCTTCTGCTTGTATAACATAAACAGTACTGGGAGTTAAGGAAGTCAGAGTACCTTTAAGGTTAACATCACTAAAATGAGCCAAAAATGTCTGGCCTACAGTATTCACAGGAGTAGCTGTAACTCTGTATGATGAGGCTCCTGAGAACTTGGGCCATCTGAGATAAATGCTTCTTGATGTCACATCATATACAGACATAGAAAAACCTAAAAGGAAAAGGAAAAAAAAAAAACACAAAAACATTTTAGTTAATTCTGAATTTAGTCAAATCCTCACAAAAAGATTATTCAGTGCCTGATCAATCATTTATGTGACCTAATTTTCAGAAGATAGGATTACATTAATTTTGGAATGCTATTTCCATCATTCACTCTGTAATCTATTATTTACTGTAATTACTGCTGCTTGCTCTCATAATATCATTTTGTGATGATAGCTATTTTTCTTAAAAGCTCTTTATGATGCAGTATCATTATTTAGAAGTGTATCCTTTATTTAAAAAAAATTGAGAAGCCCTTCTGTTTGCAGGGAAAAAAAAAGTCATTAATATATTCTGAAGCCTTACAAAGAAGAAAGAAGTAAGAATGTATTGTGAATGTGCTGTTCAAAGAGCTAAAGTTTTTTAAAGCATGTTAGGAAGGCATTGTTTGACTTACCGTTTTTCTAATATATGGATTTGAGAATGTCCTTATTTTCTTTCTTTTTAACTTTTAGAGCATTGCAAATACTGCGTATAATTCATGCTTGAAAATGCAGCCAGTATCAATGGTATTCCTACACATGATTAGGAGTAAATATGTATTTTGCAATTACTGAGAAGGAATAGCACGCTACAGTAAGTGTTCAAGTAGTGCAACAACTTGGCCAAAATAACTTAGAATTTAAGACACTGTCAGTTCAATATATGTAAAATAAAATACTAGCACCCATCTTAATGAATCAATTGTGGGTGTGTTCCTTGCAGTCTTGCATTCCTCACATTTTTAAATTGTCAATATTCGCATCTAAAGCAATAGGACCTGTAGACATACAAAGAATGTAAGATGGAATACAGTAAAAAAGCGTTAAAAATATTTAGCCCTTAAAAGATAATAATTCTTTTTTGGAGGCACGAAGGATAGCGATGCAAATGCAGGACAGTTTGAAGCCTATCTGCAGCAAAGATACCTACGTATTATAGCGAACAACACAATTAATCCACCTGAATATTACCTTTGATTCACTCTAAGGCCACAGCATAAATGGTAGGTAAAAATATTTGTGTGAACATTTAATATAATTGGAACTCCTAAAACTGACTTTTACAAGTGTGCAAAGATACCAACATACATTTTTAAACTGAAGCATATATTAAGCCCATTTTTGATTTTAAAGCCGCTAGAACTTACAAAATATTTTATGAAAAATCGGAAAATCATGCGTTCTCTTCAGACCTATTTAAAAACAAGCAAAAAAGAAATACGGAAAATGCAAAGACTTACCTGTGTTAGCCGAAAAGATCTGAAAGAGAAGATGCAGAACGTTAGAAACCCAAAGCAAAATGTTCTTTCTGGGGAAGTTACGCGCAAGCCAGGGCAACAGGAGTTGGGCGACACTCACACTTTGCAGGTGGCCGAAGAGCATTCCCGCAGCGAGGAGGGCTCCACTCATGCTGCCGGAGCTGGGATGTGGGGCCACGTTGGGCTGGAGCTCCCGGGCACCACAGGTGCCCCGGATGGGCCACCAAGCCCCCCTTCTCGCTGGCCCGCAGCCCGGCCCCAAAGCTGGGGAGAAAAGTTAGCAGAGCAGAAAGGGGGAGGGAAACCACAGGCAGGCCTGGCATTTTTTGTTCTTTTTCTGTTGTTTAGGTTTCCATTGCATGTTACGTGCTCTGTGAAGTGATTAATCCAGCAGTAAATTTGGGATTTGCACTGTTTGGATTCTGTGTGGGCTTTGTTCAGTTTAGTACATAACACCTTTTTTTTTTTTTTGTCAACTTCTGAGCACGGATTTTTCTGCACCCTCCTCGCTATTCCTCTTCTGAGCGATTTTGCACAGCACAAAGTGGCAGTAGAAACCATCTGAGCGCAGTTCCCGCCGGCTCCCACCTAGCAGCCTTCACTGATAATTCCACATTGCCTGTTAGGGTTTTTCTTTTTTCTTTTTCTTTTTTTTTTTTCCTAAAAAATGCAGGTTTTCTTGATAGGGCAAGAAACTGCATGTCATCTGGGGGGGAGGAGGGCATTTATGGCTTGAACTGTTCCCTTTATCATTTACTGTTTGCTTCAGATAATGTAAAGGCAGGAATAGCTGTAACCTGTGCACTTTCACAGGCCCTGTAACTTTCTGTATATATGTATATATTTATTTATTTGCTTATTTTATCCCAGTAGTGCAGGCTTCACCTGTCACCTTTATCATCCACCTGTCGTCTCCGGGAACGAGACGCGGGCATTCGCAGGCCTCGTAGCTTGTTTACGTTATTTATTTGGGAACTGGGCTTCGTACGCAGGTGTTTATTGCAGCCCGCCCGTGCGAGGCGCTGTTAGCGGGGCCAGGTGGCGGCGGCGGCGGCGGCTCCGCCGCGCCCCTGCGGAGCGGTTAGAGGCGGCGGCGGTGGCACACCCGTGCGGCCGCGTTTTCCGTCGGTTTTTAGATTGAGAGGGGTGTAAAGTTCAGCGAATGCCACTGCTGAAAAATAAGCTGAAAGCGAAATCAACTTAAATAATAGCTTAACTTTTTATTTTTTATTTTTAATGTATTAGTAGTCCATTTAGTTCACTATCAAAACAAGAACTATTTTAAGTATCTATAGACTTACAGTTAGTTGGGCTTACTCTTATGGAACTTTTTGATGTTGGCACAAGTGAAAAATTCACAAAACTTATCTGAAATGGAGTTGGGGCAGCTTGTGGTCAGGGATTCGCAGGGGATATCTCTGGTTTGTATCCTCCTTGCCTAGTGTTCTGCAAGCAAACAACCTGAGCGATGAACTTCCTGGGTTTTAGCAACACATAGTTTCCTGTAATTGGTAAGGTAACTTTACCTGTTTCTGGTTACAGAGCTGAAATCGTTAATGTTTGATGACTGCAAGAAAGAGGAAGAATGGAAGGTACAGCCTTTATTAAAAAAACATATTTAATAATTATTATTTTGAGTGGGGTAGGAGGTTTGGGGGTGCTGAAGCAGGTAGTCTTTATCACTCAGTATATAAATATCAAAAAATGGGTGGTTAATGGCAGGTGATTTTCACTCACAATTATGTTTATTTTCCTAATTAGTGTGACTCATGATTCTGTTCACTCGTAATAGTAATGCATTGTGGAAAAAAAATCTAAGAGTTGGCATAGGAATAAAGGGTTAGTTGACCTACATGTTACAAAATACATTTTTGGAGGGAACAGAAAATACATTCTACTTATCCTAATTTTTTGAATAGTTCAGCTCTTATTCATTTCTGTAGAACTTAACATTACTGCTTTAATTTCAGAAGTGGTCAATATGTAATTATACTGCTGGATTCAACAGCATGACCTAGAGCTTTTCCTGTCAAAGCATGTTGTATGTACTCTGTGATATGTCAACAGTAGTGAAAATAATATGAAAAGGTGTCTGGAATGGCCTTGAAGAAGGTCTTCTCATCCAGTAATCTTATTTTCTTTGTTAGGAATATTTGTCCAATTTGAGTTACAGCTGAAATAATCTACTATTGGTCCTCCTCAACGAGGAAGAGAACAAACCTTTTTTTTTTTTTTTTTTTCCCCTCCCCAGCTGAATTTGTTTGAAATGTGTCATTGTATTTTCCTTCTATTTGAAACAGTGCAATCCCAATTACTTTGTCAGGATTTAAAAAAAAAAAAAAAAAGTCCGATATGATAATTTTTGTTGAGCTCTCATGAACTGCAGTGATGAGAAAGTACTTGTGTTGTTGTAAAGAATACCAATGGAATTTTGTTTTTGATTCTAAGTTTTCATGCTCAAGAGCTATTAAAACAGAAGAAGATATGCCAGAGAGGAGGAAATTGGAGAGCCTGAATGAAGCAGGCTCTATCTCCTGAGAGAAGAGATCACTTCATAAAAATATGTGGGGAGTGAGAAGAGCTGCTTAAGCTGTATACGAGTTTTGAGATAAGAACAAATAAATTTAAGTAGGCCATAGGGTAACTGTAGTCAGGAATCGGAAGATTTCTATTGATGTGGAATTTCAAAAATTTCTGCTATTAGGATTAGTGGGGACATGCTTCCTATTTCAGATAGTCTGCCTCTTGAAATTCTCCATGCAGGCTGCTGTCTTTGGATCCTAACTGGGATTTTTTTCCTGCTGTAAAGTTGCTATATGCGAGTCAGAAAAAGATGCAGAGTAATGAAGTGGGCTTCAGCTTCAAATTTTCTTGGGAATTTGCTAAGGAAATGGTATCCTTTTGCTGTAACTGATTATTTTATCTGTTTTTTTTATTTTTATATTTAGATAATTGTTTTAGATGATTACACTACCAAATTACTGTCACTATGCTGTAAAATGAGTGATTTGCTGGAAGAGGGTATCACAGGTATGCAGAACTTTTTCTTTTCTAATATACTTTTAATGTATAAACAGATGACAATATCATGAAAAGGGGGAAGAGTAAGATTGATAGGCTTGCACGAAGGCTTCTTAATGTGGTTGATAAAGACAAGTAAGGATGTGATATTAGACATCAGATTCCTGGTTTATATAATAATTAATCAGTTGTATTCTTTATGAATGAAAATGTAATGGAAATTTTTGAAATAAAAAAACTGCTCTGTGTAGCAGCTATGAGAGATTTTTCTATCTTTTTTATTTCCAAAGATTGCTGTAAGCTTTATTGGTAGAATCCAGGAATTTGTAAATGGAGGATCCACATCTGATATTTTTAATTTATCAACCTTGATCCTCCCTCTCAACATAACCCAACAACATGAATTCCTCTGCCTTATCAGTTTAGTGTCTTGCAACACAGCCCCGCAAAATTCTTGTGTAGTGGCTTTAATAAAGAGAGCTGATTGACACTGTTGATTTGTGGAAAATGTCCAATTTGTGGGTACAATTATGTTGAAACAGAATAAGCCTGCAGGAAAAGCCCAAACAAAGAACAGAGGTGGCTAAAGGCCAAACTGTTGCCCTGATTAGTTTCATTTCCTCTTTTCTTCCACCTGCTGCAAAAAGAAGGTTCTTGCCACAGCAGTTCTCTTGCAATATTTTTCATACTGGGCCCCTTATTTTGAGCATCATTGTTTGCTATACCAGTTTTTGTGGGACAAAACTCTGCATGGAATAGGAAGTATTTGGTCCTGAAATTTAGTCAACCCAGAACTAGAGGTTCTAGAGGACCTGTAACTAGTCTGTGCTTAGAATGATTAAAAACATAGAGGCTCTTTAGGCAAAAGATAGGTCTTGACCACTAATTTTGTAGACATCTTGTTTGGCAATTCATTTTATTTCTGCTGTTTGTGCGTGTATATATACGTATATGGTGTGCAAAACTCTTTATATCAGAATGTAATATTTCTTTACTTTGTAGTTGTAGAGGACATAAATAAAAACCGTGAGCCTGCCCCATACATGAAAGCAGTTTATTTCATAACTCCAACGAAAAAGGTTAGTATTTTTAAGAAAGTGCAGGAAAATCCTTCAGGCTAAGGAAAAAAAAAAAAAAGAAGAAGAAGACTTTAAAAATATTTATGTGCTCCTTACTCCTCTGTAGTATGTGATTTTTGAACTGTGTATCACTCTGTTGGTTATATTTCTATAAGCCAAAGGGCAGTGCTACTGTGTGGCCAGCTGCCAGCATGTATCTTTTGATCAGTGCAGGTACTCATCTGATGCTTATATAGTTATAAATTTAATGAAAAGAATGACGCATCATACTTCCCTAGAAGGTGCCATTTAAAGTAATGGCTCTAGTAAAAGACATCAGTGCTACTTCCAACTAATTTTCAACAGAACAAATCCCCACTTTTGTGGGCAGAAAATGATGCAAACATTCTGCTTTGTGTCCTACAGGCATCCTGGCAGGGGTGTGTTATTGACCTTTTGCAATTACTTATTGTCTTTAGTCTGGTTTTATATGTTTTCTGTTTCAGTGGGGATTCTTTTATATATTGATTTATATTATTTCTGAGTTGTACTGGTTAATTAAAATGAGGGTTCTAGGCACTAGGAGAGGAGCTTGTCTGGTGCATTATGGAAGGCAAAATAATATTATTTTTTCCTTTTCTAAGTCTGTAGATGGACTTATTGGTGACTTCAACAGTAAATCATCTCGCAGATACAGAGCAGCATATGTCTACTTCACTGACTGTAAGTGTTTGTGTTGTAGTTTCATACCTCTGTGTATGCAAATAAGTGATCCTGTCTCGCTGCTTAGAAGTAAGTGCATGAATGTTTTACTTTTCAGAGAGGGTTTTGAGACTTAAGTCATTAACCCTATTACAGGGTTGTGTACATACCAGAAGTGTCCCAAGGTGCAGTGTGACAAGGATCAGTTCTTTCACACTTGCTGAACAGTGGTGATCTTCCCTTGCCTCAGCTTTTAATTTAGGTATTCTACCTTTGTTTTTAAAATAACGTAGTGATTTAGTGTGTCAGAGATTACAGAACAAAGCAATTCAAGTGTAACTATGTATCTCAACAAAATTCTTTGTAGAAATATAAATGCAGCTTGTATTTCTGCAAGAACACTGTTTTTAGTGTAGTTAACTTAAGACTTGTGATCCAGTTTTTTTCTCGCTGCCTAGAATAAGAAAGAGTATGGTGTTTACTTAGCTCTTGCATGAATGATGTAAACTGCAAAGCATTTGCAATTAGTCTACACAGGGGTTAATCTGACTGCATGTTCTTCTGCTGTCAGTCAGCATGACTCAAGTGGCAAGAAAAGGGTAAAAAAAATGCATGTCACTGAACATGGAGACTGAGTTGTGGGAGTACACTATTGTGGTCTATACTGTTTCCTCTAATCTTTCTGTAATTTGGGAATGTTTTCTCTATCCTGTGTGAAAAGAGGGAATATAAATCTTTGCTTTGCCATTATCATTTGCCTGCCATTGCAAAATCAGTATCCTTTGTCACTGCAAATCCCTGTTAAGTATTCTATAATGTCATTTGAAAAAAGCCAAGAAAATTACCAGGGGTGCTTATCTTAAAAAGGGGCCTTAAACTTAATCGTGTTGGTTATGCTTTCACTTTGGGAAGGTTGGTCACCTTGTTTTATGCTGCTGTTAACTGTCTCTTAATTCCTTTCTGAATTCAGAAAGGAAAGTGGAATTAAATGATAGGAAAGTGGGATATGTTTCCTAAGAGTTGTGAGATAAAAATCTCAAGCTACAGAGAAGTCCTCTACTGCAGGCAGAAACACAAACATAGCTCTGAAAGCTCACTTCTGGAAAACAGATTTGTGCGCTTTAAGCTAGTGAATTGAGTAATAGTTGAAATATACACAAATGATTTATAGCTTATTTTTTTCCCCTAGCTTGTCCTGACCATCTTTTCAATAAAATTAAGTCTTCCTGCTCAAAATCCATAAGGAGATGCAAGGAAATCAGCATTTCCTTCTTCCCATATGAGTCTCAGGTAAGTTTCATTCTTTACCTTGATCACAAAAAATTGGAATTCTGTTTCCATGTGGTGTTGGCTTGCTAGAGAACAATTTTAAAAGATAGGACTTCTTCTTTGCTTGTTTTTTTGTTTTGTTTTGCTTTTTCTTTTTTCCTGACAAATTGTACACGAAACCTATTGCCACTTCTGCATATTTTCAGTGCTTGCCAGTATTTCTCAGATGAAAAGACTTACTAGTATGGGATCACTTTTTAAAACTTGGAGTCAGTAGCTGGGTAAAACTACTTTTTAGCAGAGAGGATAGAGATGGTTGTCTTCAGTAAGCAGTGAGGTTTGTTATTGCTTATATGGAAGCGTGTATATATATATATATATACACACACAGTATGCAGTTTTAAAGTAGCAACAATTTCTTACACAAAATATTTTGGAAATGTATAATCTGACCCTTTTTTTTTTTTTTTCTTCGTTGGTGCTTTACCTAGGTATTTACTCTCAATGTCCCAGATGCCTTCTACCGCTGTTATAGCCCAACTTTGCAAAAGACGAATGATAAAGCTTCTGTGATGGCAGTTATGGCTGAACAAATCGTCACTTTATGTGCCACTTTAGATGAGAATCCAAGAGTACGATATAAAAGGTGGGATAAAAATAGGTTGGTATTAGTGCAGCCAGGTTGCCCATAGAGTAGTGGTGGCAGTGGTGCACTGCTGAATTAGCAGTCTTATGAAAAAGGGTTCAAGACTAGATGGTGGTCCTAGGTTTAACTGTGTGTCCCACCTCTGAGTGAGAATTTTACATTCTGGGCCATTAGGGAGTTTTAAAGGGAGCATTTTAGTTTGAGATTAAGAAATGTACTTTTTTTTTTTTTTTCCCTTCAGCAAACCATTGGATAATGCTAGCAAACTTGCACAGCTTGTTGAAAAAGGTCTTGAAAACTACTATAAAACTGATGAAAGGAGCCAAATAAAGGTAGACCTTGAACCCAGGTGTTTGCTTAGTTTTTATAAGTGTAGATTTTTGTGCATGATTTGACACCAGCTTCTGTAAACCTAGGTTTTATTTATTTGTAAACAAAGGTCACTAGTTGACCTTTAATTCTTTTTGTGTATAAAGATAGCTTGGAAGAGGTAATAACTTGTACAGAGTATCTATATTAAAAAGTAATTACCATAAGAGATACTGAACAAACTACTTTGTACTTGGAAAATGGGTACTTTACTAATATAGGAGATGATGCAGAGCTAATAAAAGTGTGTAACCTCTGCTTTAATTTTACCTGTCTTTGGGCTGTGTGTAAAACCAACTTCACTGCAGAACCGAAATGCCTTCCATGAAGGAGTTTTCTCCAAGTAGAAATGTGACATAAACTGTAACACAGCTAACACTTCGCTCTTCTAAATACATGAGTGTAGCTCAAGTTATCACCTCTTTGCTAAACCTTAAAATGAAACTTTCGACTGAATATATGCAGATCATAATTTATTATGATTTTATTATAATTTATTATTATGCAGTGCATAACTTATTCTGTAATACAACATAGATAATACTATCTGAAGTACAAATATTTTGCATATTTGAGTACTAGTAAGGGATAGCCTTAAGAATTTTTGTAAGTTTAAAAAAAAAGAAAGAAATTGTGTAACTCAGCTTTTTTTTTTTTTTTTTTTTTTAGGGTAAATCCCACTCTCAACTAATAATAATTGATCGTGGCTTTGATCCAGTATCAACTGTACTTCATGAGCTCACTTTCCAAGCAATGGCATATGATCTGCTGCCTATTGAAAATGATATTTACAAGCAAGTATTACTTTTTTTCCTTTTCAAATATAAACACCTTATTTGATTAGAAAACCGATGGAATATTAAAAGCGAACTGCTCCAAAAGTATCTTTTAAGTGCTTGTATTATGTAGGGATGGCTTCAGTTATTTTAGTCTTTCCTCTTTGCTTTTATAGTGTTTTCTGCCTGTTAACTTCCTCATTTAATTGAGCATGGGTAGGATCCAGCGAGCATTTTTGCTAAGCTTGATTCTGACAAGATGCTCAGTTTGATTTCTGTGTAAGTCAATCTGACTTCTTTAACAAATTTTGTACTAAACTTGAAGCAAAACCTTTCTAGTACACATTCAGATTCTTACCTTTTTCCTTTTCATATTCTCAACCTTCTTAGCTTATCAAGGCAAACAAGATGACCAGTAATGTAAGTATCATCTTGGAGGAAAAGCTCAAAACTGTCTCTCTCAGGAATGCTCACTTTTGTAGCTCTACTCTCTGATTTATGTAATTGTTTCAAGTTATGTGTGTTTCTATCCCAAAAATATATTAGGTAAAACATGCTGTTTATATACATCACATAAATGTTATACCATTTGGATCAGAGTGATGTACTTCTGGTTTTGGTTCGTTCTGACAGTAAAGATTTTGGTAAGAGTTTGCTTTCAGATAAACCATTCCAGCAAATGATACCATGAGGCCTAGATTCAGTTAAACAAAAAGCCTTTAAGTGTGGGGTCTTGAGTCTTTTAACATAGTATGTAGAATTCTGTGAAATCTGAAGTTTGCTGGTTCTGAAAACGTAGTGGAGTAGGTTTTGTGGATAGTTGTGATCTGTCTTTCAAAATTAATCGTTTCTGTATTCTGACTGTATGCACTATCTGTGTGTAGTTAGTGTGTAAGTGTGTATTAGTGTGCATAGTATGTAATTCTTAATTCCTAAATTATTGTGTCTATCAGGCAATACTTGCCTTATGAGTGAAAGCCTGTATGTGTTACTGGTGTTACTGTGCATGGTGGCAAATATACATGTTCATACCATTAGTATGTAAGAATTAAGTTATTAGAAAGGTTTTTTTAAAAAAACCAATCTGACTTTTCTTTTTGGAAGATACAAAACGGATGGACTTGCTGGGAAGGAAAAGGAGGCATTTCTGGAGGAAGATGATGAGCTGTGGGTGAAGATTCGACACAAACATATTGACTAAGGTTAGCAAGAAGGCATACTTTTAAAAATACAGTGTTTATTAGATTCAAATATGCTTGTGGAAAACTTGATTAGAAATATTTTTAGGAAATGTTTTTACATTTTCTAAATCCAGGAATTATTTCGTCAAAAGTTATTGCCTGAATTGACATTATGCAAATATTATTTAAATAACAGATGAAACATCTCTCAAATGAAGCTTTTGCTTTCATTAAGAACCTCTTTGAAATACAGTGTTTATTAGATTCAAATATGCTTGTGGAAAACTTGATTAGAAATATTTTTAGGAAATGTTTTTACATTTTCTAAATCCAGGAATTATTTCGTCAAAAGTTATTGCCTGAATTGACATTATGCAAATATTATTTAAATAACAGATGAAACATCTCTCAAATGAAGCTTTTGCTTTCATTAAGAACCTCTTTGCTTAGCTTCTCTAAAAAAGAAAAATTAACACCTGTGGTGCTGTTGCATTTGATTCCTTTCTTTTGTTTCTTCCTTGTCAGGGAAATACCAAAACTTATGAAAGAAATTTCAGCAAAAAAAAAGGCAACAGAAGGAAAAGTGAGTTGTTTGTTATTTTTTCATAGTAACTTGACTGTGTCTGTAGTGGGTGAGATCTGTGTGGTTCATGCACCTGCTGTCACAGCTGAAATTCATCTGAATGACAATGTTAGGAAAATGTGAGCTCCCAAAGAGAGGGAAATGAAGATGCTGAATATCAAAAACAAAGCAAGACAATTTTAACTGGTATCATTCCTTCACAGGTAACGATAGCAAGTCTGACCAAGTTAATGAAAAGGATGCCAGAATTCCAGAAACAGATTAGTAGGGTAAGGACCATTTTGTAAATACCACTTACCTGTCAATTATCTCTACAATATAATTTTTTGCTGGGTGTTGTTGAAATCTAGATTTATTCTGTCCCTTACTGTACATGCCATGTACCTTTTCTCCAAATGGATATGCTTACCCATTGTAGCAAGAAGCACATTTGTTTTTAGGTGTATCTTTTTATTAGGTATAAAACGCTTAATTCTTTGAGTATTTCATGCACTTTGAGGATTGTAGATTTGTTCTATTTGCCTAGTCTATCCGAAGTGGTGTAAAGTTCTAAAGTGCTCTTACTGCTAGACTTGAAATTCACTTCCTGCCACCCTCCGAATGCTAACTTTTAAATGAGGGGTGAAACACAGAAAGTGCACGATAGCACAGAAGGATAGTGCAAAGACAGTTATTGCTGTGATTTTAAACTAGTAAAAATCATTGTTTTTTTACTTACGCACTGGCATGCAGAAATATACAGCGAGTTTATTCACCACATGCTTTTTGTCTTCTAGCAAGTTGTTCATCTTAACATAGCAGAAGATTGCATGCGCAAGTTTAAACCTAATGTAGAAAGCCTTTGCAAAACTGAACAGGTATGTTGAGGAAAAAAATACTATGAATTTCACTTTGCAGGAATAGATACTTTTAACAAAACTAGAGTATCTGTCTATCACTTTTGAGGTAATAGTACTGACAATAAAGGAGGTGTTTGAGATTTGATTTGGTGTTTTTGTCCTTCAGATCTCCTAGGAAGCTGCCTTGCTATGTCCTTCAGAAGGAAGTCCTTTCAGAAAGTCTGGGAAAAGCACTTGTTAAGAGAGGCAGTACAGTTGTACTCAAGTGCCAAGTAAAAAGTATAAGTTGAGGTTAATAAGAATTTTAGAAAATGTGATTAGAGAATGAGACTGTAAGGGATTGAGACTGAGAGATGAAATACAAGAACTCTTTTTCATGCTGTGCTGAGGTTGCTTATATATAAGCTGTTCACAAGATCGCTGTTATGCATGTAGGGTATACTTTTGATGATCTTATTAATGAAAAATTGAAACTTTTAGTTTAGCTTAGCAGAACTATATTCTAGGAAATTTTCCAACTTCCAGTATAAAATGCATCAAACTGTTCTAAATATTTAAGTGTTACAGAATTATCATAGCTCTGTCACTACTGAAACAATTATGTCGAAGGCTTTTGCTGCTGACTTTAAATTTACACAGCTTGATTCTTTACTTAAACTTCACAAAAAAAAAAAAGAGGAAACACAAACCAGTACTTTTTTAATGGTTCCTCACTAAAAACCGTTATCACTTTGTTTCTAATTTAGGACTTGGCTCTTGGAACTGATGTAGAAGGTCAGAAAGTGAAGGACTCCATGAGAGTCCTCATTCCAGTTCTGCTCAGCAAAAATCATGACAATTATGACAAGATCAGAGCTATTCTCCTGTATATCTTTAGTTCAAATGGTATGAAAAAAAAAACCTTGTTTTTTCTCCATGTTATTAATTTAAATTCATGTTTTGGGATAGAGCCCAATATTTTCAGTGAACTCAAGCACCTGTATTGGAATTTATGACAAAGTTTAAAATAAATACTCTTCAAGTTCTACAACTTATCTCAGATTGCTATGAATGATGCTGTTGATAAAGATGAGATCCATACCCTGTTTTACCATCACCCCTGTTCTCAGGATGCATGTAACAGCTCTAATTTTCACTTTTTCACACTGTACCAAAGATGATAAAAGAAACTCCATATCCACTGTGGTCTAAAAAGGAGGTCAATATGGAAGGGTTTGTACTAACAGAGGAGGAAATAAAATAATTTGGCATAAATAATGAATAACAATATTAGGTTCTCATGAATGTGTCATTTGCTTTTTAAACTAAAATAAGATATTATGCTAAACTTAAGAAAATAAGCAATTAAAAAGTCCTAGACTAAATAGTAACAGGGCAGAATAATAGCAATTAGTTTTATTGATCATGCTGCAGAGTAACTGAATTACTTTCCTTATTTTAAAGGAGCAACTCAGGAGAACTTGGACAAGCTGATCCAGAATGTACGAATAGAAAGTGATAGTGATATGATAAGAAATTGGGAATATCTGGGCATTCCTCGGTAAGAAACGCTGATTTTGTTTTTTTTCTTTTTTTTTCTTTTGCTCTTCTAACATGCAACTACTTGTCTAACGTTCTTTCAGTAACTCTGACCAGTAGTATGTTGCAGATAGTTAGGCAACGGTAGTATCAGGATCTTATTTTTGGAAACAGGAAACTACTATGAATTCTTGTTTTTATGATGTATCTAAATGTTTAATCCATTGAACAATTAACATGAATAATTTTCAAGGTAATATAACTATAGTGCTTTCTGTAAAATCATCAGATACTGCCTTGAGTTATTTGCTTTTGGGAAGGTCCAACTTCTTCAGTTCCTTGTGTCTGAAATAATTATTTCGGCTGGATCTTGAACTCTGCAGATGATCATACCTCAATATGTTTGAATATTTCTTTATGATTTCCTCCCTTCTCTCAACTGTGGAAACCAGTTGCCCAAAAACATGCATGTATAATACATTTCTGATTTCTTAAGTCTCCTCAGTCTGCTTCTGAGCAATGTAAACACCCTAGAAGAGATCGCTCTTCAGAGGAAACTTACCAGCTTTCTAGATGGACACCTGTTATAAAAGATGTTATGGAGGTAAATTTGGGAAACTAATTTGTTAGTGGGTGAAATGCAGAGATAAATGTAAGTGAACTGCTGTATTGGATTTTCTGAAATTCCTTAATACTTGAGTTATTTTCAATAAATAGTTCTGTAGGTTCTTGGTATGTATAATTGTCTGCATTATGCAGTCCGCTGCTCTGTGTAGGATCACTCTTTTTTGGGAAACAACTTCATTTTTTTTTCAAGAAATTACTTACTCTGGCATTAAATTCTAATTAGGTGTCCTTTTTGGGGTTGAAGATTTTGTGGATTTAGGTCTGTATGACTGTTTCAAGGCGTTCTTTCTTTTGCCCTTCAGGATGCTATAGAAAAAAAACTAGATCTGAATGAATGGCCTTATTGTTGCCAGTGTCCTCCTACCTGGAATGGGTCAGGAATAGTAAGGTAAACTGTTTAATTCCTTGAAAAATAACTGACCCTTTCCTCAGCATTGCTTTCTTCTTATGCATTCTAAAATCTTAACAGAAATGTGCATACTGAACAGTGAAATAGTTTATTTAGGGTAACACTGAAGTTTAAGTGTTTCAGTTAAGCGTATTGAACTTGGCTGTTAGTTTAATGACTTTAACTAGCTCTCAATAACTTCTGTTCGGGGTATCTCTCTCTGGCTTTTGACTTAGAAATAATGTTTCCAAAAATAAAAAATGTAAACCATAGAACTTTTTAATGTACAGCAGTTTTAGCTCTTTTTTGTAGTTACAATGTTAAATTCAGGAAAAAGATTGATTATTTATAATTTGGTAGCAGTCTTCATTTCTGAGACCGAGTTCAGTAAGTTAAGTTCAGCCTCTGTAGGGCATCTCATTGCTTAGTAATATGGTCCTGTTAGAAAATTGACCTCTGATATCAAGGAATAGTGTAGAGAAGTCCAGAAATGCTGGACATCATAAAAGGAATTTTCTGCTAATGTGAGGGTGCTCAAATGGAAATTGGTATCTTACTAAACAGAAGATAGTCAGTGCTAAAGATGCACAGCTGTCAGTTCTGTTACTTCCAGTGCTAAAAACAAGCAAATAGGTCTGTTGATGTGCAGTTATTTTTTGGCTGAATGTTACAGTACTTAATGCAAGGAAGTACATTTTTAACTCAGTTTTGTATTGTACTTTTTTTGTTTGTCTTTCAGGTAAAGCGTTAAGGACTTAAGGTTTAATCTGAATCTGCAGTTACAATATGTGCTAGAGGAAAAAATAACTGCATATATGCTGGAAATAGCAAATATAAAGGCCTTTATCTTTCAAGTCCTAGATATCTGAATACTCTTTGGTAAAAGTCAAATACTTAGAGATTTTTTTTCCAGTTAGGGAAGTGGAAAGCTAAGACACAGTGATCATCTGGCTCATACAAGTATCTGTTACCAAAAATGTCACTTGAATTGGAGGTGTGCAGAATTAAGCTCCTCCATAGGAGTCACTTGTAGTGAGCTGTCTGTATGAAAAGATTCCTGCTTTGTATTTATTTTACCCCTTGCAATAAGTCAGTGCTTGTGTGATGTGTTACTTGTTTTCCGTATAATTCTTGTAACTAGCAATCTGTCTAAATTTTTGACTGCAATTATAACTGGTGAACAGCAGAAATCGTTACAAACTTGTCATCTTATGAAACATTTTACAGTGCTCGCCAGAAACCGAAAGGTAGTTACCAAGATGAGCGAAGAAGTGGTACAAAACTGATTATATTTGTGATTGGAGGCATTACGTACTCTGAGATGCGATGTGCGTATGAAATTTCTGAAGCCTACAAGCCTTGTGAAGTTATTATTGGTAAGCTGGTCTTGGGAAGGTGGGGGTATGTAGCAATTTGCTTGAAAACACTGTATGGAGCCTAAAGATAGGGTTTCTGGAAAATATAGGCATTTTTTGCTTATTTTTTTCCTTCCTTTGTATTCCCTAGGTTAGTTCAGCAAATTAGTACTGTACTGAATGTATTTTGTGTCTGTTTAAACTATGCAGTTCACCTAAACTGAAAAGATGCTTTATCTAGATTTTTGTTTGTTTTTGCAACAAGAAATTAAGAACAGTAAAGACAATTCTGCTGAAAAGTTCAGAACAGTTGTAATGATTTATGTCATAATTTCAGATTAAGAATACTTTTTTTTATCTTCTATTCACAGGTTCTACTCATCTTTTGACACCTAAAAGACTCCTGGATGAAGTAAAGAGCCTTAGTAAGCCAAAGGATATGGTCTGCTTTAGGGACGAATAGAGATGGTGATTATAATGTATTTGGAAAAGACAAGCAGTATGTACATATTCTTATGGAATTAATTTTTCCAAATACTGTACTGGAACACTGTGGTTTTGAATAATTTAATTTAAAATTGCTGCTTTGGGGGAAAATATAAGGCACATAAAGGAAAAAAAAATCAGCACTTGTGTGTTTTAGTTGTATATCATATGGGAGTGTTACACTGTAAAGTGCGTTTTGGAAAAGGGCATGTTCACCCCTAAGATTTATTACCCTGATTTAATTTATTCTGTGATTTTTTTTTTTGAGAACTATGAAAGCTTTATGTAACTGGAGAGTTTATTTCTTAAAAAATGCTGAAATTAAAGTTTGTAAATACAAGTTTGTGGTAAAACTATTTCACACAAGCGCAATGGCTCTATCCATAACACTTTTTTATGAAATGAATCACTGAAAGCTCTTTAAAGGCATGTCATCCTGTGAAAAATCATGAAATGTAACATTTTACATGCCTAAGAGATCAGAAAGAGGGGCTTTTCAGGTGGTGGTGGGTACAGGAGCAAGTTTGTGATGGAAGTGCTAAGCAATTCTGATTTCAATAAATAACTTCTGATAAAATGCTGTCAGTTTTGTGCACTGAAGTACTCCTTAAGTATCTATGGGGGCTATTACTCACATTTTTCAAAAAGAATGAATATATACTTTCTTATGACTGTCTATGTAGTTTCTTTGTCTTAAGAAATGGGTTACCTGTACCTTGTGGTATCATACCCACTTCTATGTCCCTTTCAGTATTTCACTCAGGGGTAAATTTTTTTCTTTTGGGTGGAGGGGTGGATAAAAGGAGAACAAAAAGGGGAGGCAGTTGAGTCTGTGCATTAGCTTGGTAATTAAAAAAAGAATGCAAGCAGAATTTACTGTTCTCTTCTACTGCACTCATTATGTATTTTAAAAATAACCTATGTTAGATTGGATCAAATGAATTCTATGTTTGATTTGTTTCTGCAATACTGCTAATGCACAGACTTCTCTTAGAAAGTCATTCAAGTGTAAACATACAACTGTTTAATGTTGAAATGATGTGCCTTAACATTAGTTTGTGTGTAGATCTGAGGGCAATGTCATAAAATAATGGATATTAGATTTATTTTTTATTATTAGGTTCCAACTAATAGTGCATGCATTTTTTGTGTCGCAAAAAAGTGTTTACTTGTCCTTACTTCTATTCTCAAGTTAACCAGTATCTTGAAAGACTTGAAAGAAACTTTTCTTCTTTTTCTCAGCTAAGTTCATTCCAAGTTCATTAGCGGTGGGAAAAGACAAAATTGATATATGTTTTTTTTTTTTTTTTTTCCCCCCCACCTCCATCGCTTTGCTCCCGTATATCAGAGAACAAAATCTTGCAGAATGTGGGACATGATGGGGATAAGTGCATATAGCTTTTACCCTCATCTACACAAACGAGGCATTTACTATACATTGACTTTATTTTTAACCTTCTAGCTCGTTCATTAAACAGCTTGTGCACCAAGACTTCTTAAATTATTCGAAATATCAATGTTATTTTTACTAAATTCTAGTTTCTTAACATAAATATCTCAGTAAATATTCAGAGCAAAAAGTACATATTGAACAAGTGAGATCTTCGGCATTTTTTCATCCAAGTCATGCTAACATAAAACCACATTAACATGGAGACCAAAGAGGTAGTAGACGTTTTCTTCCTCTTTGGTGGGCAAAAAAGCAAATCACCCAGAATCACAGAATGGTTGAGGTTGGCAGGGACCTCTAGAGATCATCTAGTCCAGCAGGGACACCTAGAGCACGTGGCACAGGGTGGCATCCAAGTGAGTTGGAAGATCTCCAGAGAAGGAGACTCCACAGCCTCTCTGGGGAGCCCGTGCCTGTGCTCTGTCACCCTCACAGTAAAGAAGGTTTTGAAACGTGCAGTTATGAGGTTCAAAACAAAAGGATCTAAGACATCCTATAGCCAAGTATTACATACCTTGAATTATACAGGGGATGTGTGTGCGTGCATGTGTGGAAACAGTTCCTCAAACTCATGAGAAAAGAATTCTTGCAGGCAATTAAACATGAAGATCTGGTTGTTGATTCAGAAGGACTCTGAGCTCCAATTTGCTGAAGGCTCAGAGAATATTCTGAGGAAATGTTACTAAGTGTTTGGCTATTTAACTATATTCTTCCTTCAGGCACAGGATAACAGGTGTGGTGATCCAGATTAAACAAAATGTCTGGCTGTTTGTGATGTAGAAATATTTCTAGATATTCTACTTTTAATTGGATCTAGGGAGTCCTGCAGCAGCTACTTCACCAATCAGGTTCACTACACAAACTCATCACAAGGACATTCTAAACCTTAATCTAGTGTAGGCAAGTCAGCCTTTGCTTATGCAGCACCTTTGTCTGAAATAAGCCTAAGATAATAGTAATAAGCAGAAGGAAATTGGGTTAAGAGCCCAAGGGAGAAAAGAGAGGTTGATGACTCTGATGGATGCAGAGCATGGAGAAGCCTGGAAAATCTGTTGAGTCAAGTTTATAAATCAATGCCACACAGCAGCAAGGTGAGCTATAAATGGCTTCTAAATACTTTAGAATGGCTTGAAAAAATAGCAAATAAGCTTGTATTGAGATACTATTTGCTTGCTTTTAAACACTACAGTTAACTGGTTTTCAGAATACAAATCACTTATTTGCTTGGCCAGATGTATCAGAGAAGGTAAGGATACTGCAGTTTAACTCTTGGGAGAACATGGACAAGATGTGGTATTACTCAGTTATTAAGACATGCAAGAAAATATCTTAAATGTGAACCATTCTCAATGTGTGCCACTTAACCAATAATTATATATGTTAACTATGACTTGCTGTACTAGTATGGTGCTCAGAGATGTTTCAGGAGAAGAGCAGTTATTATTAAGGTGTGGGACACGAATGCAATAATGACTGATAACCTCTTTCTCTACTTTCAGAGAAGAAAAAAAAAAGAGGGCTTAAAAGCTAACCTTTCTTGTTCAAGCCAATGTTTATAATGCTACCTTAAGTGAATGCTTGGAGAAAGAAGACAGCTATAGAGTAGTAAAAGGTTAGCCAATGTATTAATCTATTCTCGGTAGAATCAGTAATTTGTTTCCAGTGCTGCACTGTATGGAAACGTGTGGAAAACTGTCATCTATGCTAGTAGTGATAGTCACAGAACTAGTTTGACTTTCTAATTTTTCTACTTATTATTTTATATTTGTACAGAGATACATAATGATGAAGAAAATACAGCATTTTATTTCAAACTTGGTAATTAAAGCTGTTTGCTTCTAACTTTAGCTAGATCTTCTGAAACTGCTTGTACCATTCGTTCTGTAGTTCTCTTCAAACTGTTTGCTGTCTGTATGGCATGGTCCAGAGTAGAACTTAAAATCTGTTGGGAATAATAAAACATAGCTGTGCTAATACTGAAGACAAGTGTTTCCATAGGTATAGAGTAGAATGAAAAGGAAGTTTAATTAAGGTCATCTTATAGCATATTCAACAGATCCTACTTCAAATACATGTTAAAAAGTATAAATTCTGAGTCATGTGGTAGACTACTCAGGATTCAACTTGGAAGTGGCCGTTAATTATTTATCTTAAAAGTGTATGTGGCCACTACTTATTTATCTTAAGGTGTATTTATCTTAAGGTGTATTTGTTGCACTGGGGGATATTTACACTAGTAGCAGCCCCAGTATAGTGCACGTTTGTTGTGAGAGAGGGTTGTCCCATTTCGTGCACCCCTGGTTTTGGTAGCAGTTGATGAGGTTGGGTTGACACTTCTTATTTCAGTCTAGAAAATGTAATTTCAGAGGTAACATCCATTCCCTTTTTCTGGCCCCTTTTCCTATTTATACAGGGACTAAATGGTGCAAAAATTCTCTTCTTTGAAAGAGAATTTTTCTGCGAAAAAATACACCGGAGTGAAGTCCTTACATGTGGCAGTATTCCAGAACATCCAGGTGGCCTAGAATGTGAATAATACTGCTTGCAGTGTTTGAACAAAACTACAGACCAAGAAGAAGGGCTTGCGATGGAGGGTAAGGGTGTATAGGTGACCTACAGCAATTTTGGCACACTGTACCTCCTAGTTCTAAAAGTTCTTTACACCTGAGAAGCACAATGCTAAGTCTTACGTTTGTATCGGAAATGCTCATGTTTGTGTTTCGGATGTTGACTGCTGATTTTCTTCTAGAAGTCGTCTTTCTGGGTAGGTGAGGTGAAAGGATAACTGTATCATACATGCTTGAATAGCAGGTTTTGACAGTCTCCATATTTTTCCTATAAGGGTATATATAAATGTGTATATATAGTATAGAAGCACATAGCATATACTTATATGTACTCTGTAGTGTATAAATAGTATATAAATGAGAGAATAATACACAGTTTTATTAATAAAAAGAATTTTTAAACTATGAATTAGATACTTTGTTAGCATATTTGCTTGCAAGTTGATCTTATAGTGAATGCGACTTTTCACTTGATCATAAAACGCAGTCCAGCATAACTTGTTTTGCATATGCACTGCAGTGAGACAGTAAACACTGCAGAAGGCAGGGTCAGTAAACCGTTCTAATGGTACAGAGCCATCATCTCCTTGATGCTATAGCCATCTCTCACAAAGTAGCTACTGAGAGTTTGCTTTAGTCTAGTCTGTGTAATAGGAATCCATTTTTCTTGCAGTCTCCAATATAATTTCATGTTAAGGACTGCTATTTGTAAAGAAAATAATTGGTATCAAACAGAATTGCACCCTAACTAATATAAATTAATTCCTGGATCTGTAAATGTGACATTATCTTAAAGTGAAGGGTTTCTTTTAATGTTTTTTAGTCAAAATGTATGTCAGCTAAAGACATTAGATGTGGATTCTGCTAATTGACTTAGATTGAAGAATGACTGAATTATATACACTTCCTCTTAAGGTAAATATTTTAATTTCGTTAGAGAGCAAAATTCTAATATACAGCACATTCTGCAAAAGAGAAAGCATTGCCACTGCTTATGATAGGAGTTGTTTTTCCCATGCTGAATAATTAGTAATGACATCTACTGTTCTACTGCTTATATATAGTAATTGCTACAGCTTACCTTTCAGAAAGTCCCTTTACAAGGTGATGTGGTAGTTTATGTCTGTAAGCTTTTTGAGTGCAGCTTATTATCTTCTTTGAATAGGCTGAAAAAGTTGAAGCTATGTTTAGTAAAAACAGAAAAATGTAATTTTTATGTATTTAAAAGGTGTTTCTGTTTAGTAAAAATCATGTGTTCAGTTAGAATCACTACTACCATCATGGGGGCCTTGATGCTAGGCCTGATCCCGGACCTTGACCCCCAACCAGACTCTAGACCTTGACCGCGGCACCTGACCGCCAACCTTGACCCCAGACCCTTAACCACTGACCTTGACCACCTTGACCTGGTACCTGACCCCGGACCTTGACCCCAAACCTAGAACCGGGACTTTGACCCCAGACCTCGACCCAGGATGGCACCCCAATTTGATCCCAGGCCTGACTCCAGATCTTGACTGCAGATCTTGACCCTGGACCCGACTCCGGACCTCACTCCAGACCTTGACCCTGGACCTAGAACTGGCACTTGACCCCGGACCTTGACTCGGAACAGACTCTGGGCCTTGACCCCAGACCTAGGACTGGAACTTGACCTGACTCCAGACCTTGACTCGGGATCTGGCTCTGGGTCTTGACCCTGGAACTGACTCCGGACCTTGACCCCGGGGCTTGACCTGGAACTTGACTCTGGACCTTGACTTCCGACCTGACTCCGGACCTTGTCCCAGGTCTTGACTCCGGACTTCAACCCTGGACCTAGAACCGGGACCTGACTTTGGAACTGGCTCTGGACCATGACCGCGGGCCTTCACCCCGGACCTGACCACAGAACTTGACCCTGGACTTTGACATTGGACCCTGACCCCCAATATTGACCCCAGACCTTGACTTCTGACCTGACCCTGACCTCACGCCCAATTTGACCCCAGACATGACACCGGACCTTGACCCTGTACTGTGACATTGGCTTGAACCTAAAGCAGACTCCGGACCTTGACCTGGGATCTGACCCCAGACCTGACTCCAGACCTTGACCACACATGATGACCTGGGACCTGAACCTGGACCTTCACCCCGGAGCTGACTGTGGACCTTGACACTGGACCTTGACCCCATACCTTGACCTTGGACCTGACTCCGAACTTTGGCCCTAGGCCTTGACCATGGATCTGACTCCAGAGCTTGACCACTTTGATCTCTGCTTCCTCTGGTGCATTTCTGTCTAAATCCTGAAAACCAAGACATCAAAGTTTTTTTTTTTTTTTTTAAAAAAAAAACAACACAGGACACTATAAACAGCAGTTTTTTTATATTGCAATCATTATACCTTTTCTCTCTCCATGTAATCCTGTATTGAATATCATGTGATTTTCAGTCTTGTGGTTCAGAAGTTCCTCACTTTGTGAATCACTGGAAGAATTGCAGGCTGAGATGTCTTCTGAATCACTACCTAAAATCACCAAAATATATTAAAAAGTTTAAAAAAAGGCACACAGGACACTATAAACAGCAGTTTTTTTATATTGCAATCATTATACCTTTTCTCTCTCCATGTAATCCTGTATTCAATATCTTGTGATTTTCAGTCTTGTGGTTCAGACGTTCCTCACTTTGTGAATCCCTGGAAGAATTGCAGGCTGAGATGTCTTCTGAATCACTACCTAAAATCACCAAAATATATTAAAAAGGTCTGCAATAAATACTAACAAATTATGGCTTGCTACCTAAGTACTTGTTTGTATTTCAGCACCATAATTTCTGAGCCCTTCATTGCCATTAACATTATTACAGTTCAACTTTTCCCTCAAAAACAATTGTTTCCCACAAAACAATTGTTTTGTGTAGGTTCAGTAGTAGGTGTAAGCACAGTTCTGCCCTTTGCATGCCACCACTACTTACTCAGGTTGGTATCTGATAAATCAGTTGGTTTTCCTTGAATGAAGATTGAACAGCTTCCAGTTTTCCTTTCCTGGATGTTTTCATTGCTTCGATCATGAAAACAGAATGAGATTTTAGATACATGTTAATATTACAATGACAAGCCTTATGAACACATTAATGTTTAAGTAACCACTGCTTAATTAAAAAGTAAATTTATTCATATCAATTATCTGAAAAGGTGGTAAGTAGAAGCTTAAATTAAAAGCTAACTAATCATAAATTAATTACTCTTTCAATTAAAGGACACTGATTTCGCTGTTAAACATGCTTTAAGTAAAATATGATAATTCCATCCTTGTATAACAACATGTTGTGACATTCTGTTTACTTACAGGTGTCCAAATATTACATCAAAATACTATCAAATGCCAGGATGACATTTTTTTTGAGGGCATAACTTGAGATTATTTTAAAGATTTTATTTATTTATTTATTACTTGTAGAGAAATTTGAGACATACCTTCTGAAAGAATACAGTTCCTTGTTTGCCAGGTTTGCAAAATGTATTTTCAACTTAGGGCATACAGAACCAGCAAATTTATTTGGAGATTTTTCTACCCATTCATGAAAACAGTGATCAGAAGATTGAGCTATGTTTTCTTAAGTGAGAAAGAGAGAGAGAGAGAGAGAGAGAGAAGACTGGAGACTAGGTGAGTTTTACTTAATAAATACTAACATCTATTCAGTAAGTCAGAGTGTGTTTATCTTGTGCTTACCTTCTTCCTTCAGCGTATTTAGATGTATATCATGTTCTACACTGCATATATTATAAGATCTAGCTTTGGATGGAGATACAATTTGCCAAAAATTTAAACTCCTGAATAAACCATACAGAATTATTTTAACAGATTGACATTTCTGTAAATAAAATTTTACCAATTGAATTTTGAATCTTCACAGGTTTATCAATATGCCTCTTCCTCCATGGCTGCCACGTAAGTTAATGACTGATTATTTCAAGTATTTTTAGTTGCCAAAAACTTTGCAGTCATCCCTATTCAGGTTACTGAAATGCATCCCTAAATAGAGACTGAATGTAAAACCCCTTCATGCAATGTTAAAATAAGTTTGTGCCATTCAGGTACCATAAACCATTGGTCTCAGTGAGAAAGCCTACTTTGTAACATGAATATAATCCTATCTGTAATAAAATCAATGTGAGTTCTGGCATTTCTCAGAAGGTCTGGTATATGGTGTATACTGGTGATATCTGCTTGTTAGTACTTCATCCGGCCATTTTAAATGTATTTAAAATATTATTCAGTGTTTTGGGCAGAATCCAGCATATAGACATATGGATGATTCAATTTAGCTGAAGAAAAACACTTTTGCAGCTAGGCAAAATAGGTAAGATACTTACCTTTCCATGCTTTCTTCATCAGCCTTAGATTTTTGGCCTAGTTTTCCCAGAGGGTAGGATCCAAGGCCTTCAGCACCATGTATTTTCTCGGTTGCATCCAGAAATCTCTGTTGCATCCAGAAGGCAGAACAAATTGATATGTGACTGTTTACATTATTTTGTATGTATCCAATAAGACAGTGTAAGCAATGGTACCATTTGCATGTTGTTTTTCATATTGTTTTTAGTTGTCATCGATACTACAAACTGATTTTCCTATTTACAATTCTAGCGGTAGAGCAGACTGAAAAACACTTGAATGCTTTTAAATCTGGACAGCTGGCATATAAAATAGGGCTTAGCATAGCTTTGAGAAGATTAGCATGTATTCATTCATTTCACTCATGCTTTAAAATTAAAAGAATTTTTTTAAGCATATCTTGGCAAGCGAGGCGACACAGTTAAGTCTTTCCTAAGAGACGCCAATCTTACTGCAAATTTCAAAAACTTTCAGAAAGTCTTTCCTTAAATCTCTTTTTGCAGCCACTTCAGGAAAGTTGATCTATGCTGCATTAGCTCAAAAATTGGGCTGTCATCATGTGCAAACACTGAAGGGGAAAATATTTTGTAAGCATTGAGAAATTGTCTCAATAAAGCTGAATGTCTTCATCTAAGATGACAAAATGAGTGTGAAAATGGATATCATACCATTACATTTGGAGAATGCTTGTTTGCTTGCAGACCTCCTCTTACCAGGGGCTGCATTTCTTTCTTGGAAGTCAATTCATCTTTCTTCTGTAATTTCAATTGGCTAAGGAGAAACCATTTATTTTATTTCTGCAATACCATTAAGCTGATTATCACTTATCAAATACTTCCCAAAAGTCTCTAGAACCCTTTCACAAAGCTATAACAGGTATGAGCAAAGGATCTGCATTCTTCCTTCCTTCTTTTCTTTTCTTTTTTTTCTTTTTAATGATTGCTAGTCATTCACATCCTGAAATTTGCAGTTGTATAGAAACTTTAACGCCTAGTGAAACTGCTTGTATTGTGGTTTCAGGGAATATCTGCTTGGGTATGATGAACTTCACAGTAGGAGTGCTGGACAGGAAGGAATTAATGGGTATGTAGTTAAGGAATTATATAAGAGGTTTAGTGTGGAAACACTCTACCTGCTCTCATATATTTCAGACATCACAACTTTCTATCCTCGGCAAATAATTATAGATCCAGTCTTATAAATTCAGTAGCTTTCTGTAAGTTTTATACTTACACACATGGGTAGGGATTGTGCTTGTCTCCTTCTAAATAAACTCTATGATTTGTCTGTGGGATCGCATCAGTTGTATGACTTATATTTTTTTCCTTGTTGTTCTTGTAAAGAAATGCAGTCTCAACAGCTATTCTTTCTGGAGGATCAATAATGCTTGAATTTCCTGAGCCCTGTACAAAGTAAGACATACAGTATGTGATTGTTGCCTTGCAAGTACCTGACTTCTACCAGCTAGGATTTTCTGAATGTCTCCAAATTAGGATTCAGAGATGTGGGCTTTTAAAATACTGACAATGAAAGTAGTTAGTGATTTTTTTAATCATCTGTAGTTTTGTTAAAAAAAAATAGTGTTTTCTGTGCATTTATGATCCAGTACAAACTATTATTATAATTACCAGTAAACTGTTTTCTATAGCACAGTAATGTATTTCTTCTTGTAGTAATTCTCCAGTTTAAGAATCTTGAACAAACCAAGTAGCATTTCATTCAAACTGAATGATAGTGATTCACTTCAAAACCGAGAGAGAGATTTGTAAAAGTTAAGGTGGCTGCTCGTTTTCTTTTTCTGAAAGCAAATGCTTTCAAAGCTGGGACCAAAAAAATGCCAACATAGCTATGTTGGTACTTACATCTTTAAAATTAAAATTAATGAAATATTATAAAGGCTATATTTCATTTAAAAATTATTTGAAGTGACATATACTATCTAGAAGTGTTGTGCTTTTACAAATAGTAGGTGATTACAACCACAGTGAGGTTAATGAGATCTGTATCCCTAAAACATAGACTAATATTGTCTTTTAATAGCAAAACTCACTAAGTTACCTCCCAGAGAGAATAAGATGAACAGGCAGATTCATAAGGAGTAAGCAAAGGAGGTGAGCTGCATTTGCTGTCATCAGTCTCTTCGTGGATGTCTTCAAGCAGCATGCCAAGTCTAAATATTTCTCCTTCCACCTTTCTAAACATAACAGCAACACACAATTAGTGAAACCTTTGCACACTGATGTTCGATTTCTTACTGAGATACCAGTATTGGGTACTACAATGAACAGTCCGTAAGGAAAATGAATTCCTAGATTTCACTGAGTCCATTTAAATGCTGGAATTAATTGTATCCTACTTATAATTGCAGGATCTAACCATAAACTCTGAGATGAACTTTGGCCAAATCACTTCTGGCTTACCACATAAAAATTGATAACTTATTTATGAAAAATATTCTAAGGACAAATGACTTAATGGTTTTGAGATACTCAAAAATATCGAGAATGTGCTGATGGACTTCTTAGTACTTATTTTCTAACCTGTCAGGATCAAACTTTCCAACATCGATAGACGTGTCCTTGTTGTTCTGCAGTTGTAAGTTACAGTGCTCCTCTTTAGCTGTTAAATAATTCTGTTCCAGGGCATCAAGGCATCTTTTCAAATGATTTAATACCTTCACCAATAAGAAATAATTGAATAATTAATGACATGTATTGGACGTAAGCAAGCCATAGTGATAGCTACTTATGCTGTAAGCCAGATTCTGTTTGCAGTGATGATCAATATGCTATTTTGCTATTGATCTGAATTGGAACAGGATTACACTGTGTATGTCCATTAAGTAACCTGCACTGCTTTGTTATATACAAATAAAATATTAAACCATGACTTCCAGACTGATATTTTACATGTAAAAGTTGCTATTTTATGGATACTTAAGGCTTTCATGAAGTTTTGAATTGTAATCTTTAAAGCAGATTTAAGAATTTGGCCACCTGCTGAATACCTTCATTTCTGCTTTTATATTCATAATTTCAATCTGAGATTGATTTTTTTCTTATTTTTTATATATCTGAGGAAAACATTGAGGATCAGGCCATAGATTCACAAGTCGACCACCATTTAAAGTGCAGTTCAGATGACAAAGAATGTATGAATTGATTTACCAGATGTTTATCTTGTAAAAGGAATGTTTCCTGGATCTTACATTGAGACAAGTCTTCTACCTTCAAGAGAAAAAAATCAGAATTTTTTACTTGGGATTTTTAAAGTGAATATGTCAATGAATATAAAAATTGAGCATCAGTACTAAGTATGTATTGAAACACAGGTGGTTATTACTTTCTTTTTCAGTTGATCTGTTTGTTCCTGTAGTATTTGAGTCATTTTTTGCCCTTGTGTTAATTCTGGCAGTAAATTGGAAGGCTTCAGGCGATGTGCTTGTACTGTACCAGCTGGTGGTAATGTTGATACCATTGTCCCACACTGTAATCCTACATAACACAAGAGAATATCAACCAGTTGGAATTTCTACGCAAACCATTTGTTTTGCATAAAATATAATTACATCAAAGAAAATCACTATTTGCATAGTCACTATAACTTAATTTACCTGCTTCAGACAAACCAAGCATAGGAGGGTATAATGCAAAGACTCCAGAGGATGTCTCAGTGCCTCCTGAGTACATGGCAAAACTTGGATTTGGAAAAGCTGACTGAGAAAGTATCTGTTAAAAGAGGAAAACTTTGTCTATAGAAATGCTATATGGAGCACTTATGGACATTGAATAGCTCAAAATGCACAGGACAGGTTTTCAGTAAAATGAAGTATGTTTGTTGTTGTTATCCCATATAGTTTGATAAATTTACAGTGCCTCATTGTATAGATACTTAAAACTTCAATTTTATCTTGTGGAAATTAGAAGATGTACATAAATAGGAGGAGGAGCAACTTGAAGATAACAATAGTTTGGGTGAATATTTATAATCTTAGAGATAAGAAAATGAATTAAGGAAGAGTATTTTTAAGAGATTTACCTTAGAATTAAATCTCAACTGATCAATACGATTCTGGGTGTCAGCGTGCTCTGTCAGCATCTTGTATACGGCCAGGAAGTAACAAGAGAGAATTATTAAACCTATCACAAATAATTTTACTAAGGTACAAACTTGTCATGTTAGATTTTGCAGGATATGGAATATTTTCTTAAGGCAATATCACTCTTTACAGATATTAAGAATTTCTTAATTTTAAGAAAGTCTTAAAACATTTACCTGTAGCTGTTGCAACAGCTCTGAAACACTCATTTCTTCTTGATTCTCTATTTCAACAGAATCAAAGCAGTTCTTGTTTTCTACTATGTCATTCACAGTTACTGATTTATTAGGTGAAATAGGAAAGGCTTTTGTCCTTTCAGTGATAGAAACTGGTTTATTGTTGCTGTTTCTTTTTGGTCCTTTAGCAACTTCAGAGAAATGGGGTAGGTAATAATGAACTTGACTTTTGTCACACTGAGAAGAAGCTGTTCTCTCAAATGGATCTCTCTGTTGTTTTGTAGGGTTTTGAAAGATGAACGTATCTTCATTCTTACTACTTAGAGGTGAACTTCTTTGTATGCATCCACACTCAGAAGTTTCAGAAATAGCTCTCTCTGAAACAAGTGTATTTTTATTTAGCAAAGTGTGATCTTTCTCACCAGTATCTATTTTCTCACATTTTTCTAAGCAATAATTTTCCAAGTTAGTTGGTGGCTGCCCATGAGATAAAGAGCTTTGGGCCAATTCCGAAGTCTCAAGCTTACTGCTGGCTTCATCGATGCTGTCAGTAAAGGATATCTCTGGTATGGTCTCACATTCAATTAACTGGCATGTGGTTATTAACTCTCCCTTAGAGAAATGGCGCAAAAGGACATCAGACATCTTTGAGTTGGCGAGGTGCTCCTTCCTACCTGCTCTGCGAAAGCCACCAACGCATAAATCACTCCTAAGACAAGCTTCCCTGACAGGTGTTTTGCTCAAAACTCCAGGTGTTTCTGGGGCACGTGCATGGCAGTTGAAAGCTGATTCAGCTTGGGGGTGAGTTTCAGCATCTGCTGATGCTTTTATATTCTTGTTATCTTCAGAAGAGGATACATTGAAAAAAATATCAGAAATATGCTCTATGCAAGCACAGTCACTCAAATCATCTGAATAATTACTGTGTTGACAGGTTATTCTGAGGTTGCCATCAGAGGGTAAGTCTTCATTTTCCTCATCAGTTGTGCGTGGGATACAGTCTAATTCATCCAAAAATGACACGTTCATTGGGATGAATGATGGGTTGCCCTTTTTCATATCGTTATATCCCGACTGTAGGGCATATGAATGTCAGTGCTTCACGGCTGTCAGAGATAACTTTTATTTTAATTGCACAGATCAAACTCTGCAAGGGAGGCGTGATAATTATTTGGTATTTAAATGCCCTCAAAAATAGGAGCCCGGGAGCACGCGGTGCAAAGGCGGCGGGAGAGGGAAGGCAGGGACAAGTGCGAGCTCAAGGGAAAAGAGGAGGGAGGAGAAAAAACCGGGGGGGAAGGCGTATAACAGC